GTCACCGTTAGGAACTGCACCCTCATAAACACCACCAACGGGCTACGAATCAAGACGTGGGCCCCATCCACCGTGTCGACCACCGTTAGCGACATCGTGTTTCAGGATGTTAAGATCTCGAATGTCCGAAACCCGATCATTATCGACCAATACTATTGCCAGCAGGGTTCTTGCAGCCATGCAGTGAGTATCTTTTTTTTTTGTCGTTCCGTTATTATATAATTCAAGTTATATATATCTCTTATTTATATTTGTGTATTATTGTATGTGTAGAGAGAATCGAGTATCAAGATCAACGGCGTGAAGTATATAAACGTGAAGGGCACTTCGGCATCCCCGGTTGGGGTGAACTTGCAATGTAGCAGATCACGTCCGTGCCAAAACTTGGAGTTTCAGGGTGTTCGGCTCACGCTCGGAGGCGGAAAATCGACAGCCGCTGTTTGTTCGAGCGCGCACTTCCAATACATCGACCCGAGCAATGTTCCTTCCAAGTGTGTTAGCCCTCAAGCGTATGATGGGATGATTAGTTGATTGATTGTGTTAAACTAAACCAACTTTTAGGGCCAATTTGTATTAGTTTTGGAGCGATTGTGAGTGCTAAGAAAAAGCTACTCCATTCTCCAAGCATTAATTAGCTTCAAAGTATCTTATAAGTTATAAGATCGTTATAAGACACCATCTTTTCCTTTTCAATTACTAAAAGGTTTGAATAAATTTGCTTAACAACAAACTAATACGTAACCTCATGCGATGCACGGACTGTATTTGTTTTGGTAAAATTTATAATTAAATTATTAATGAATTAGTTATAATATATAATATTTGTTAGGTAATTGCAAAATGTTCGTCATGAAAGTCGTACTTTATTAAAAATATCGTCATTTTTCCATGCAAAATTACATTGCACTTGGCAACCGTAGGCCGATATTTACCAAGATTGTTCTCCACTTGGTAATTGCGAATTGTATAGACACCTTCTTATTTTATTTATTTATTTTGTTGATTTTCGTTATGTTAGACCCACAAATTAAAATTATAGTGTAAACATGTATTATTGTGATAAATACTAAAATTATGATTTATTTGGTGAAGTCTAATTTTATATAAAATATAAGAAAAGTTGTTACCTGAAAGTGTGGATTTTGAGTATATCTTTTTTTTTCAATCATTCTCGTTTTTTATTTTAAATTCATTCCAATATTGAGAACAATTTTCTTTTTGTATGTTTTAACAAAGATTTGGATTTTTTATTGTATCCTTTTGTAAAATAATATTTACAAAAATAATTACGTTTTATCATTTGTAGCTCAAAAAACTAACTAAATGAATCGGATGACATTAAATCACTATTTTTAAATGAAAAAAATATTTCATAACTAAATTGATAAAAAAAAAATAATGATACCGGGCGAATATATTGTGGTTAAGTTGTAGCTCAAAAAACTAACTATATTTTTTACTTGTAGTTAAGTTGCATATATTGTATAACTATATATGAAAAAAAATAAAAAATTTAAAGTTTAAATATGCGATTTATTTATATGTATATAATAAAGTGTACAGTCCAGGAATAGAACTTCCGGGCGAACTTCCCATCTGTTCCCCAATAATTAAATTTTTTATTTATCATTTATATTATTAATATTGATATCATGATTATGTAAAGTTCTACTCTCATTTTTACGGCAAATTTATGTTATATTAAAATGAATTCAAAAGTCTAAAAAGAGATATAGATTGAATTAAAAATATTGAATTGTGGTTAAATTATTTGAGTCCATAATTATACTGATACTTCGTAATATTTGATTCCATAATAACATTGCTTTTAAATAGAATTGATTCTAAACAACCGGATTTAGTGTTTAATCAAATATTATGGGATATTTTTTTAAAACAATAAATTCGGTTATCGAGGGAAGTTAAAACTGATTGCAATTAATGCTTCGAGGTTTGTTTTAAGGAATTGTGTAAATTTCTGTAATTAGAATGTAATTAATGCATAATTGCAAGAAATGCTTATTATATTTGACTAGTACAGAGCCCGTGCGATGCACGAGGTGCACAATTTTAAGATCATTTATCCAACCTTATAATTATATAAATGAATAAAGAAAAATGTAAGGGATATATATAGTACGTGACCTGTGCGAGGCACGGGATATATTCATTTGAGGATTATTATACTATAAGATGCAATATTCAATAAACGTTTTACAATACTTAAATATAAATAATATAAATATCTAAATACATACACGATATGTAGAATAAATAAACCAAATTGCAAATCTGAAAATATAATTAAAAAAATCAAAAATATATTTCACTAAACATGTACAAAAATATCTAAATACATACATGGAAAAAAAAATATACGTTTCAAATTTCGAAATTAAAACAAAAATTCAAATAATTTTTTTGAGATTTGTAATTTATAATGGGTAGAGTATATATATATTGTTGTTAATATTTTTATCAGAAAATCTGAATCTGAATATGCAGAAATCGATTTGAACAAAATCAGATCAAACTTATATACAATTAGATATTAAATAATAAATAAAACCTTTTTTATTTTAGTAAAGATTTTATGTATTTTTATTTTTTTTACTTATGGGATGTTATGGGGTTTTTTTTTGTTAAAACGATTTTATGGTATATAATACAAATACAATTAGAGGATTGGACAAAATCAAAACAGATTTCCATAAAATTAGATAATAAGAAAGAATTAGATAAGGAAAAGAAGGAATTAGATAAGGAATTTTGAATCTACTTTTTTTTAGTATAGATAGATTTTACGTACAAAATTTGACTTCACTGATTTAGTGGGATTTGTTTTGACAAATCGATGTTAATATGGAATAAGAAAAATAAATAAAATATTTTTTTATGGGATATAAGTCAAATAAATAAAATAATTAAATAAAATTCTAGATAGAAATAACAATGCATTAATTACGTTGACTTTTCAATTTACTAAATTTGGTAAATAGGATACCTTATTATATAAGTATAAATTTATAGATATCCATAATGTAAAATAATATTGATATGAAAATATTATTTAAGGTTTTTATCAGGAAAAGAGTAAAATAACCATTTGTAGTTATAAGAATACAAATGATTTTTTTTTTTTTTTGGTCGAAACGATAGAATGCTATAAAATCCAAAAAGTGTTCAATACAAGAGACTCGGAGCACCACAACAAACTGAAAAACTTAGAGGCACATTAAGAAATGGCCTAGAGACTCACAAATACATCAAACAAAAACAATCAATAGGATAAACACCACTGCCAATAGGCCTAGCTACATCCCAAAGATCAAAGACAGCAAAAAACAAAACAAGAAAGGAAAAAAAACATCAAGAGGCCAGAGCCTTGCAGTAGGTGAGCCAATCCAAGTGAGCTGACTTCACCACAATGTGAATAGGCATAAGAGTCTTTTGAAAGATCCAAAGATTCCGAGTCTTCCACATCCACCACAAAAGATAAGTAGTGAGCTGAATTCTGAAGTTGGAAGTGTCAGACTGAGGTAAGGAACAAATTTGTTGCCACCAGTGTTTGAAAGAGGCTGATTGGAGTTGCAAGCCATTCCAGGAAACAGGAGCAATTTCCCACATTCTTTTAGCTCTGTTGCACTCTAAAAACAAATGCTCAACTGTTTCCAATCCATCTCCACAGCATTTACAGATTGAATCAATAGCAATCCCTTTCTTATTGAGATTAATCAGAGTAGGCAGAGCACCACTAAGGCATTTCCAGATAAAAATTTTGATTTTGCCTGGGATTTTAAGAGACCAGCTTCTGGAGAGAGTTTTGGCCATAGGGATCAGAGAGGTGCTGCATTCAGGCATATCAAGAGAAAGAACTTTCTGCTGCACTAAGTGAGTATAAATGCTGGAGACTGAGAATTTACCT